TGCATAATTTGTTATAATAGTATGTACATGTAACATGAGTAACAAGGACACCTTAAAATAAAGTGTTACCCACTTTTTTTTAACAATTGTTATAAAAATGTTGTCCCATTTATTCAAGTGGAATAATAAAAACTACTATGGCTGTTTATTATAAAATTAAATCTTTATTAAATAGAAATGTATCTATCCCTTGTGAAAAAGAAGTACGCTTTAGAATATAAAAAAAAGATAGTATGTATTACAGACACAATATACTTTAAAAGTATATAAATAAGTGTAAAATGAGTGTAATGTTTTCGGACACTTTATTGCATGGTAATTGCAAGTTGTAATACAGTTTAAATTAATATAAAATTCACTTTGTTTAATTTAAGAGTGTTTTTAGACACACTTAAGTACAGTAGGACTTAAAAATAATCTTTAATATGATACGATATATGAAATAATTATAAAACTTTATAAAATTATTGAAGCTATTGTGTTTGAAATATGGTTAAGGTGAACTGCGGAATGTACTCACAAGGAATTATGGTAAATTAAAATAATGTCATTTCTATTGAAATGTGTATGTTGTGTATTTAAATATTTTTGTAACTAAACATTTGTAATGATGAACTTTTCATTTAGTACATTTGAAATATTTAAATATCAAAGTTTTATTGAATAACACACTGCAGTTAAAATAAAATTATAATCAAGTACTTTATTTGTGCTTTAACATGTTAGTCAACACGTTAAAATAATGATTAAAAAAACATAACGATTTAAAGTGTGCTTTTCATTTTACATTATTACAAAGTGCACTTTTAAACGGACAGAAATTCATCAAATAATTTAATGAGATACTAATGCAATAATGGAACTAACTCAAATATATAATGTCCAGACATATCAAAGTAATGGTAGAAAATGAATGGTACCCCCAAATAATTGTAAAGAAAATAATGTCAGAATGTTTAAAAAAAAACACACACTTAAAATAGGTCTTAAAATTTTAACAAAACGTCAAAGCATGTTATGGTCAAAAATAAAAAGATAAAAGAAAAAAAAATTCTATTTTGGACAAAGACAGTGGAGCCTACTCTCTTTGTCCAAAATCGAATTTCTTATTTTGTTCTTTTAATTTTTGACCATGCTTTGATGTTTTGTCACTTGCCATGGCATTTTGCCTCGAGCCCTGGTTAACCCTTCTCTGCATGTTTTGGCCATCTGACTTGTAGCACTGTCTGGGTGACATGTGGGCCTATAAAATGGAGTGCACTCGTTTACTAGTACCTGCAGAAACAAGGGTGCAAAACAGAGGCAGACCTTTAAAACGCCAGTGTGGGGTTTGTTACCCAGGACCCTGATGACGCAGTAAGATGCTGTATTGTCCCAGGACACAAAGCCTTCTATTTAGGTGTGGGGTAATCACAGAGTGTCCGGCTGGGCTAGAGGAATTCCTCGGCCTCACGCGGATCCGCCTGCCTAATCTAGTCCTGGATGGGAGGGGAGGAAGTTGCTTGGTGGTCCCTCTCTTTAGCAACATAATTTATGACCAACCAGAGGTCTGGCTCTACCATTGCAGATGTAGGGAGAGGAGGAGAGACATTACGGAAACAAAGAAGAGGGTGTGCGACTTTAAACTATGATTGGTGATGGTTTGACATGCAATCAGTGTGTAAACATTTAACTACTATGCTAGTGGTTCAGCTCCGGAAAGGACAACTGAAAATGTCTGAATAAATTCCCAGTAAATATTAACATGTCAAATCAAGTGCATATATTTTAAAGTAGCACATGAATACTTTTTTTTGACAAAAATTGTAATTAATGCAATGTAATCCATGCATTTTAAACTGTGACCAAACTATTTGAGGCCAATGTAATCATACACTGAATTTCTAAACAGTGTATTCCACTCAAAAAATGTCATCAATTTTGACAGAGAAAAATCAAATAACACATTGAACTAAACATGAAATTTAGAAAGACTTCAAATATTTTGTTTTAAAACAAACAAACTTTTTTTTTATTGTATACACTGTTCAAAAAGTTTGGGGTGAGTAAGATGTATTATGAAATATTAAAACTTTTATTCAGGAAGGACACAATCGAATGATCAAACATGACAGTAAAGACATTTATAATGTTACAAAAGGTTTATATTTCAAATAAATGCTGTTCATTCAGCTTTCTATTCATCAACGAATCCATCCTGAAAAAAATGTATCATGATTTCCACAAAAAAAAAAACATTAAAGGGGTCATATGATGCTGCTAAAAAGAACATTATTTTGTGTATTTGGTGTAATGAAATGTGTTTATGCGGTTTAAAGTTAAAAAAACACATTATTTTCCACATACTGTACATTATTGTTTCTCCTCTATGCCCCGCCTTTTTGAAACGCGTCGATTTTTACAAAGCTCATCGGTCTGAAAAAAGCGAGGTGTGCTTGACTGGCCAGCTATCCAGTGCGTTGTGATTAGCCGAATACCTCAAGCGTGAGA